CTGTGTGTGTGTGTGTGTGTGTGTGTGTGTGCCTGTTTTGTTTTGTTTTGAGTCAGGGTTTCTCTGTGTAGCCCTGGCTGTCCTGGAACCCACTCTGTAGATCAGACTGGCTTTGAGCTCATACAGATCTTTTTGTCTCTGCCTCCTCAGTTCTTCAATCAAACGCATGTGTCACCATGCCTGGCTGTGAGCCTTACTCTTTTCTTCAAGAAAGCAGAGCAGATAAACTTCTATGATGGTGCTTTATAGCTGTAATAACACTCTTACTATAATAAAATGTTCAAGTTGGGCTACTTCTACTTTATAAGGAGTATAGGCTTGGTTTTGACTTGTGGTCTGGAGCCGTAAGAGCCCAGCTGTAGCAGCGAGGCTCTGACTGGGGGAGGGGGGGGGAGAGGGCTCACTGATTGTATCCTTTCACCACCTAACGGGTTATTTAAAAAATATATTTTTGCCGGGCGGTGGTGGCGCACGCCTTTAATCCCAGCACTTGGGAGGCAGAGGCAGGTGGATTTCTGAGTTCGAGAGTTCGAGCCAGCCTGGTCTACAGAGTGAGTTCCAGGACAGCTAGGGCTACACAGAGAAACCCTGTCTCGAAAAAGCATATATATATATATATATATATATATATATATATATATATATATATATATTATGTGCATTGGTGTTTTGTCTGCATGTAAGTCTGGAGCTGTCAGGTCCCCCGGAAGTGCAGTTACAGACAGTGTGCTGCCTTGTGAGAACAGCATATTCTGGAAGAAAGAACAGTCAGTGCTCTTAACCAAAAGGCTATTTCTCCAGCCCCGATGGAGTTCGTTTGTTTGTTTGTTTTTAATAGAAAACAGTGTCTTGCTATGTAGCTCAGGCAGGTCTGGAGGTCCTAAATTTACAATTCTCCTGACTCAGTCTCCTGAATGGTATGAAATTAGTGACCTGTGTCATGAGTCACAGTGAAATGACCCTCTTGCTGGTCATCTTAAGACACCACATAGTGTGAGACTGCAACAGTCTTGTGTGCCTCTAGCTCTGTTTATAAAGCATCAGAATGCAATCATGGGGACTTCACCCAGTCATCTAATTACTTCCAAGTGGGTCACCATCTCTAAACGCCACAGATTCACTTTCTATGTTCTTAATAGATTTAACATAAAACTTTGGGGATTAAACTTTTAGATAAATGTCAAAGGATAAACTGTTGTCAAGCCTTAACAAGTCCAGTTTTGCAGCTGGAGAGATGACTCAGCAGCTAAGAGCACTGACTGCTCTTCCAGAGGTCCCGAGTTCAGTTCCCAGCAACCACTTGGTAGCTCACAACCATCTGTAATGGGATCCGATGCCCTCTTATGGTACCTCTGAAGATAGCGATGACACTCAGTGTACTCACATACATAAAATAATCTTTTTTAAAAAGTCCAATTTCTTTAAAGGTTCCTATACAGAACAGACGCACAGTAGACCCTAGGGACTTCCTGCCCCAAACTAATCTCCAAGTTAAGAAGTGCAGAAGATGCAGAAAGAACAAAGGCGGAGGGAAGTGATGGGATCTAGATACCTCAGGGGAGGAAGGGCTGGCGAAAACTGACCGGGAGGGAGCAAGGGCTTTGTAGCTTACGGGTTCCCAGTGGGAGGAGGCCGGTCTGGTCCTCCCTCCTGGGCCCTCTTAGGACTAGCTTGTAGCTCAGGCAGCTCTAGAGGCCCTAATTGTACAATTCTCCTGCCTCAGTCTCCTGAATGCTGTGAAATTAGTGGCCTGCATCATCCAGGTCCATAGACTCCTAAAGACAGAGGGGCATCCGGATATCTGAATCTAGGTGGAGCCTGAAATGTCGGGGTGAACATTTAGGCTCCCTTGACAGATCAGTGGAAAAGAAACAGACAGACACGCAGGTTCGACAGGGTGGTTTTGTTTTCGTTTTTATTGGCCTTCTACACCTGGCAGGTACCCCATATCATCCTGATAGGCGAGGACAGGCACACGTCCCCCGAAGCGGTATGTGTACTTGCGCCCACCGCTCTTGAGCACGATGTCGCGGCGGTAATAGTAACGTAGACCTCGGCTCAGCTTCTCGTAATTCATTCCCGGCTTCCTCTTGCGCTCGCCCCACAGCCGGGCCACCTAGGACGCAGTCTTGAGGTTAGAAGGACCAGGGTCTTAGCTGCTATGGGCGGGGCGGGTCTTAGTCCTGATGGGCGTGGGGGGTTGTGAGTGGGTGGGGGCGGGGCTGAGAACTAGGTAAGTGAGGCTTGCCGGGCAAGGGGAGCTGTCTCACCTCTTTGGGGTCGCACAGCTGGAATTCGCGGTTATTGCCCGTCCAGCGGATGCAGCTGCTGCGCGCCCGGTCGTGGAGCAGTTCCAAGAGGAACTGCCACAGCTGAATGGGACCTGAGAGACAGAGAGAGGCAGGTGAACGCCAGGCTTCACAGAACACTCTGCTGCGACGAACCTAGTCGGGGAGTATTCACTTTGAAGGCTAAAAGGTTCAGGTTCTCCCAATTTAGGACCCAGGAGTCCAGCTCTGTCCCTCCTCGAAGGTCTGTGAGTTCGGATCCCTCCATAGTAGGGACCCAAGAGCCAGTTTCGGGATCCCCTGGCAGCCTGAACCCTATCTAGGAGATTCAGGAGTTTGACCTCCGCACCTCAAAGACCCAGGAGTCCGAATGCTCCTCTTTCCTCTCGCATAACCTAGGGGCCTACTTTTTTGTCCTCTTGGTCCCTAGAAAGTAAGTGTCTGTCCTCTCACCCGATCCCTCTTCTGCTTTCTGTTACAGAACCCCTGTCCTCTAGCGGCCAGTTTCCCGGATCTCACATCTTTTAGTTACCCAGACCCCATCCCCAAGGCATCCAGGCCCAGTCCTAACCGGTTTGGCTTCACCTCTTCTGCAGTTCGCAGCCTCTTACCTCGGTGGTTAGTTTTGGAGTAGCGAGTCAGCGTGGCTCGATCAGACTGCTGGCTCGATTTGGAGGGCGTGGTGAATGCTGGACTCTGGTGCTCCTCGAAAGGGATGCTGCATTCTTGCAGCCCAGTGTTCCAAGTGGTGGTGTAGTCCGAACCCGCAGACCCGCCCCACGACATTCTATAGTCCGACCGCGCTTCCTCGCTCTGGACATTGTCCCAGTAGGTGGCGCCACTGGGGCCCACAGAACAGTCCCAGCTGGCGGTGCTCCAGGCGGCGGGAGGGTGCGACCACGAGGGGACCCCTCCCGCCGAGGTGGCAGGATTCTGGCCCGGCGCCCCTTCAAAGCCGACGAAGGGGGAGGGGCTAGTGCCCGGAGGGGCGGGGCCTGGCGTCTGCGCAGCACAGCTCCACGGGTCTGTGGTGTTGCACCCCAGGTCTGTCCTGTCTCGTGACCACGGAAGGGAGTGAGCAACGGGCTCTGGGAGGAAGACAGACCTTAAATAATGGGGGCCCAGGAGTCTTGGCCCCCCGCACTCTTGGGTTTTGGGGGAGTTTTGACGCCTCATGTGGCCTTGAAGATGGAGGCGTCCGCCCCAGTCTTAGTCCCGCTCCTCTGCAGACTAGTGGGTTTGAACTCAGCTCTGGTGTGTCAGGACCCCCATTGCTCTCTTCCCACCTCCATTTTCTACCACTTACCCGCCTCGAAAGGTACTTCTTCGTGAGGTAAAGCGGGATTCCAGTCTAGCTCTGGGAACCCTATGTTGGACGAGAGATCCGAGTTTAGGAAAGATGTGCGCAATGACTTAGGGACCTCGGCCACCCACTCACGCCTCCTTCATTCTCAAGAATCCAAACATGTCGCTTCCTTCCCACTCAGCACCCTCGCTCCTTCTAAAAAGCCCCATTTCCCCCCAGCACACAGGGGGTCAAGCTCAGCAACTACCTTTCCAGCAGCTCTCTAGGTTCATCGGTGTGTCGTCTTGCAGGGCCACTTCAGGAAAATAGAAACCAAATTCTGCTCCTTCTGCGGGCAACAAGGATGTTAAGGCCAGGTTAGGGGTCAAAGGGCCCCGCATCCTTGGAGTCCTGCATACACTTTGTCCCAAGCCACACCAGCTTACCCAGTCCTGTCAGCTTGTCCCCAGGAGGCACTTCCTGTAGTGAAGCCTCATCCCAGTTCCACAGGTCCATGGACGCTTGTTCTGACGGTTCTGATTGAGAGAGGAAAAGTTCCAAGGGTAACAGACAAGCTAGTGACATTAGGGACCCAGGAGTCTGATTGCAACCCTTGTTTCCCTCAGACCCAGAGAAGACTTCTGCAACCTCTTTCCCCAGGACAAGGAATATTGGTTTCCAGTCCCTTCTCCTTCTCTCAGACACTTAAATCCAGGCTCCCTGCATCTTGGAGTTCCCAGGTCCTTCCTAGTTCAGATACCCAGGCATCCAGTCCCCAGTTCGTGGCTCACCTCTGGCAGATTCCTTCTCTCCTAGCCAGGGGGGTCTCAGCCCCATTTCATACCATGCACCCTTCCCGGGGGGCCTGATAGGGGAGGGGGGAATTTTCCGAGACGTCAGAGCTGGGGGTCGCAGCTTGGGTCAAGTTGCAGGGATGGGGGGCGTGGTCAAGCTGCACCCCCTGCTTTTGGGATGCGCACTGGTCCCTGGAACGGTCCCCTTTCAGAGACAAATTGGGCTTGGAAAAGGGCTTAGGGAACAGGGGCAGGGCAGGGATGGGGATGCAGAGGTCTAAGGGGTGCTTACGGGGTAGTAGGGATAGGATGAGGGGCTCGGACAGGTTCCCCGTCTTGAGGATTTGGTGGTGTGACATGAAAAGTGGTGGGGGAGGAGGGTCTGGGGTCAGCTGGGCAGCTCTGGGCTTATCTACAACAGGAAGAGGGATTTCCGGCCAGATGCCCCTTTTCCCTAGCATCAGCCTACGTCACAATCGGCAGGGTGACAGACAGCCAGGGGGGGGGGGGGGGGGGCCCAATACAACCCTGAATCCCCTAGCAGGCACAGGGAGGGTGTCCTGCGCTACTACAGAATAATGGCAATCATAATCAAAATAACATCATCATGGGCGATGATAATAGTAATAGCAACCACTGACGTTAAATGAGGGTCTGCTGGGTCGGGGGAAGCCATGACAACGGGTCTTCATTTAATCTTCTTAAGGGGGAAGTGTTTTTAAGGGGGAAGTTTATGAAGGGGGAAACTGAGGCATGCCTTCTCCCATTTCTTTTTCTGTCTGGGCTTTCTGGGCAGTCCCGAACAACTGGGGAATTTTGAATATGAACTGAATGTGAGTTATTGCATAATTTTATGTGTGGCAGTGATAGGTTTGGAAAGTGGAGACATTTAGGGACGAAGTGTTTTGTTTGAAGCTTGTTTCAACTAATTCAGAAAAGAATCACATGCACAATGTGCAAAAATATTCAAACAATATTTGGGACATAGATATACCAAAAAGTATCTGCTTGTTAAACTGAAACTCTGTAACTAGGCATCCTGGTTTTTTTGTTTTTTTTTTTTTTTTGCTTGTTTGTTTTGTTTTAATTTGCTAAGCCTGGCTAACCTTAGCTTCAGTAACTCAGTAACCTTGGCTTCAGACAATGTATAGGTGCTCATTTTTCTAAGTACTTGCTTATTAAATATTAAAAAGATCTGAGGTCATTTTAATATTTAATTTTAATATTAAATTTTTACTTACTGGCTGGACAATGCTGGCATACACCTTTAATCCCAGCAATTGGGAAGTAGAGGCAGGTGGATCTCTGAGTTAGAGGTCTGCACAGAGTGAGTTCAGGGCTACACGGAGGAACCCTGTCTCAAAACAAACAAACAAACAAACAAACAAAACAAAAAACCAAACACCAAAACAAAAACCCCACAAAACCACACTAACCAAACAAAAAGTACTTATTATAAATGAATACATATTTGATATTAAAAGCATTTTTATTTCCAGACATGGTAGTGTATGCCTTTAACCCCAGCACTAGGTAGGCAGAGAAAGGTGGATCTCTGGGATTTCAGTGCCAGTCTGGTCTACATAGTGAGTTCCAGGGCTTACAAAGTGAGACTCT